GTGGGGGGGGAAGGGGGGGGGGGGGGGGGGGGGGGGGGTTGTAATCTAAAACTACTAGAAATACGTGTATTGCAGAACCTCGTGAGCTCGGGGAGGGTGGCCCGTTAAATGTTAGGGATGGGAGGGAGGGAAAGAGACATAATACAAAACTTGACCATTATTTTTGGAATTCGGCAATTTATGATGTTATGGTCTCCTTGTGAATAGTGTGATATAGCCCTTCAAGAGCTAATTTTTGACAACAAATCTTTCTGTTAGTTGGTCATGGTCAGAGTGAAGGAGAAAGAGCCTAAATATCAGATTTTTCCTGTTACGTCAGAGATGTTTTTAAACACATTGACCAAGTCACAGCAGACAACAAAGGCATACCAATATTTATGTTTGGCCACTCAATGGTATGTACTGTTATGAAAACTTTATTGGAATGCTGACCCTTTTTTTGATTTTTGTTTTTGTTTTTTTGTTGTTGTTTGTTTGTTTGTTTTACATTTTTTAAAGGTATAGATGGTAGGTTCTCGGGTCCCCTAACCGCGGTGATCACTGAAATACTAGTATATGTTAAGAATATGTTAATAACGAGAAAGACCCCAAGCCCATCATGCTTTGCGGTTGTTTCGTAATGTCGCGTTCTTGCCGGTTTGTTTTGATTAAACATAGATAGCCTGTGAATTTCGGGTTTTCTTATTATCAACTCGATTTGTCTGATCTCTTTTCTTCGCTGTGTTTAACTAATGCTACTCAGAGTATACGAAAAACTTCTAAACTACCAACATGGAACTGAGAAATAAATCGGTACAATCTATTTTATACTTCTTTAAAGTAGCTGTGCCCGGAAATCTACTCCAAGGAAGCCATTGTAAGCGATAACCTCCTGTAAGTGGCTTCTAATACTAGTATATGTTAAGAATATGTTAATAACGAGAAAGACCCCAAGCCCATCATGCTTTGCGGTTGTTTCGTAATGTCGCGTTCTTGCCAGTCTGTTTTGATAACATAGATAGCCTGTGAATTTCAGGTTTTCTTATTATTAACTCTTTGCAAGTCTGGCTTCAATGCAGTCAAATCACATATTACGAAAACACAAATACAGTCGAACCTCCATATGCGATCACCTCTCGTAAAAGACCACCATCCGTAAGCGACCGCGTTAGCGTGCGGCTCAGTAGCGGTTTAAGGACTTTCCATTGTTTTTAACCTCTTAAAAAGCGACCACTTAACTATTTGTCTGATCTCTTTTCTTCGCTGTGTTTAATTAATGCTACTCAGATATACGAAGAACTTCTAAAAGTACCAACATGGAACTGAGAAATAAATCGGTGCAATCTAATTTATACTGCTTTAAAGTAGCTGTGCCCGGAAATCTACTCCAAGGAAGCCGTCGTAAGCGACAACCTCCTGTAAGTGGCTTCTAAGCCTCAGCCTTTAGAGTGGCCGCTTACGGAAGGTTTGACTGTACCTTGAAAAGTTCATGTTATGATATTATTAATATTATGCATTATTCTTTATAGGGTGGTACAATAGCTGTTCTTAGTGTTATGGAGAGACCTTATTTCTTTGCGGGTGCTATTTTTAGCGCACCAAGCATAAAAGTGGATGCCAATCCTTGCACGGTAATTTATTGCTCCACTTGCTACAAATAGTAAACAAAAACACAATGCAAAGACTGTTTCTCTTTTCTTAGGGTACCGTCAATGCAAAAACAGGATACAGCAAACCCAAAACAGAAAAACACTACGTACCTAAGGAAACAGAAATACAAATCCCAAAACAGAAGTAAACACCCCAAAGCGGAAACACATACAAAACAAAAATACGAAATTGAACCACAAAACTGAAAGAGAATTTAAAAATACAAACCATGATCAAAAACCCCAAAACAGAAACAAGGAAATAATGTAAAACAATAGTTTCTCATGATTCATCGTCTTTTAATTATCTTAACCGGCGATCAGGCGGGGGTTTTTTTTATAGAGAGGGCGTGATCACAGGCTATAATAGCCAATTTCCGAGTTCCAAAAACTCTCGCTTTAATAACGAGGCTAAAGGTACAGTAAAACGGGCAACTAATTGCTGCAGAACGAGTCCAGAAGCGATGCTTAGGAACTTGTTTAAACCTGATTTGCTGCAAGGGAGGCTTCATTCATGGGTAGTAAAATGCGCAACATCACTTTTCAACTAGTTTCCCAACAATTTTGTAAAACAGGTTTCACGTTTTTGTTGTCCGTTTTACCATAGCTTTACAGCGATTTTCGTATAACCATGAAATGAAAACGAGCGAACAGAAAAGAAACATCAAACGAACGGAAATAGAGCGATTTGATTGGTTTATCGAACGAATACAAACGGGCGTGGGTTTTGGTTGGTTAAGCGAACGCCCGAGAACTTTCTAGAAATCAAATGATACTTCGCTTAGAAGTCATACAACAACACGATTGGCCAATCGAACAATGCTTTCTCCATATTAGGGTTTTCTTTGGCGGGAAAACGAGAGGCCATGTTTTGATCTTTTCATCCATTGGCTAATAAAACAAATAACGAACACTTACCGAAACCATTTTTCAAGGTCATAAGAAAATCTAATGCAGGGTGAGATAAAACAGATTTTAGATGTGAAATATTTGCAGGGGCAGCAATTTTTTTATAGTCTGTTGCCTCTCAATTCACATGTTATTTAAACATAAATAACTGATTAATCACGAAAAGAAACGAACTTTTTACAAAGTTCTAGTGGCGGATGGAAGGGAATATGATGGTTAATTTAGTAGGAGATTATTTTATCACGAGTCAAGTTTTTAACCTTGTCTTCTAGGGGGAGGTGCGAAATTAATACAGTAGTGATTGTTCCATATATAAAAACACAAAAAAAAATAACTAAACGAACTTGGCCAATATTCAGCTATCTGGACCTCACGCTTGGTTAAAAGAGACCTTTAGGTTCGAGGACGAGAACTACTAGGAGTACGACTTTCGCTCTTCTCAAAAAGAAAAATAGACACCAGGAAAGCTCCATTGTACTTTTGATTCACCAGAAAAGTTAGCACTGTTACCTATTGAAGGAGTTTAAGCCCTCTCTCGACCGAAATAATAAAACTTAGCTTCTAACATTTGATAACTTGTTTATTCGTCACAACGACATTCTCGGCAAAACTCTTAGTAGAATGACGACGGCTATCACGTTTTCCCGCCAAAATGACGCTGGTTAATGCGCGCGCACTGCTTAGCATTAAGAAAATCTCGTACTCTTAATCGTCCTCGTCTTAAAAACTGAAGGTCTGAAATAACTTATACAATGCATGTATCTTACAGGTTTGTCTAGGAAGAATAGTATCATGGATAATGCCCTCGTATCAGATCAGGCCACCGATTGATCCATCACTCTTAAGCCAGGATCCTACACAGGTGATACAAAACTACAGGGAAACTCAGCCGAGTTTACTTTCGCAAAGAGTTGTGGGATTGTTAATAAGGACAGAGAAAAAGATTGGCCAATAGTTGACCGGTGTGACCCCAGTAACTATCCCAGAAACAATCGCGGGTCAAATTTCTTCTCCAATAAAATTCCCTTCTCGTTTCTAAAAAGGCGAACAACACAACTGATAACTGCTCTCTTTTCCTGAGTCAAAGGAGAGAGACTTTCGTATGCATTTTATCCGCATTTCCGAAAAAAATTCCATGACTTTCGAAAAATGCCGGACATATTCCGGTGATTTCTGGAGGTTGCCAAATGACGAGGTGTCCAGTCCCTCAAACCGATCGCGAAACTTGACCTTTCGTAACACTGACTGGAATAATTTGGGTGGATATTGAATAAAAGTTTTTCAGTATAATGGTTGATGACAAGTCGTTCGGAATTGTGAGTCAGGAATTGATGTTTTCCATCCTTCATGATTGTGCAATGAAACAGTAACGCTGGTGGACGGCGGGTTCGTCAAGGGTCATTCTGCCCTCTTCAGTTAATTAGCCTTACGATTATACTAGACCTAACGCCTTACACATTTATCGTTAAAGGAGCTCGTCGTGCTTGTTGTAGGGGTGGAGTCTCCCCGTACTAATTTTAATATCCCTCAATTCTTCGCACGATCCATTTAATAACCATAAGTCTTACAGAAAGTCGAATTTCCTTGAGTACCGGGTGTCGCTCGCGCCTTGTTGTTCTCGCGGTCCGACTTGCATTGTGGAAAGTCTAGGACTTCAATAACACAATGCGCCTTGTTTATTGTTATTGTTTTAGGTTGAAAAGTATGCCAATGATAGCCTAAACTGGCATGAGGGAATGAAAGTGAGATGGGTCGGAGCTATATTAGACGCAATGAATGAATCCAGAGGAACTTGTCAAAGCTTACAACACCTTATTTACTTGTCCATGGTGATGGAGATCAATTAGTGAAGATTGACGGTTCACGTTACTTACATGAGAATTCCCCAAGTAACGACAAGACATTTAAGGTACACGAATGAGCTGCTTTACTGACAGCACTGAGGGAACTAATAGCCTCTCTATGGGTATTTCCGACAAATAGTTAGGGCGCTTGACGCGGTATATCATGATGGCAGGAAGAGGCGGTCTTAAAACGGCGTTTGTTCAATATGTGGTGATGTTGTCCTGCCCGGAGTAGGAGTTTCGGCCGCTTTGTTCCAAGCGTAATTAATTGTGAACTTATCTCAACAAAAGTCGTGATTTGTCTAAACCCTTTTAACCCCAAGAGTGACCAATATCTATTTTTTCCTAACAATGTCACCACATTTACAAGGGAAAAGGTTATGAGAATTTATAAAATAATCACCAAAGAGGAAATTCTCGTCTCCAAACGGGTGTCTAAAGAATAATATAGAGTTTTCCCACTTTGGCCAATTTTCCGTCGCATTATCATTTCAGAAATCTATCTATTATTATTTCATTATCATCACAACTCCTTGTAAAACTTGCTTTGCAGATATACGAGAATGGGCGCCATGAACTTTTGAATGAGGTGGAAGAAACTGCGAGCGTGATTTACAAGGACATTCTAGACTGGATCCAGCAAAAGCTACCTTGAATTGTTTTAGGCTGCGTTTTACACGAATCCAGACTAATTTTTGAAACTGCATATTCTTTTACCTGGATTCGTGCAAACGAGGCCTTAAATCACTCCGGAGAGCCGTTTCAAAAAGATAGTAGGCTGATTTAGCAATAGAACAGAACGGGAACGTCAGTTGACGACGACGCGCGCAAATCAAACAACTGGCTTGACCAATGGGAGAGCAGCAAATTGAGCACCGGAAGTCGCGTTCAGTCCTTTCCGCGCACTTTCCCGTCGTCAAATGATGTTCCCGTTCTGTTGCTAAATCAGCCTAATGTTTCGGTGAGAGGATTCACCGGCTTCGTGCGTGGACGGAATACCAGAGAGAAGGCCGATTCATGTGAAAAATATATCTAAATGCGCTTTTAAAAATATCCGGATTTGTATGGACGAGGCTTTTCACGATAGTGTCAATCTACAAATATGACTAGAATCATATCGTTTCTTTTTTAATTTCTTTCATATTTAATTCAGTAAATTCAGAAACCTTAATTTGCATGAGAAAGCCAAATTCTGTGGGATTCTAAAAAAGGCCGTTTGCTCGATGACGTCATTTTATTATACCAGATTCCTTCAGGGTTTTGCTTTCTTCTGCAAGTTAGGGCTTTTGTTATTTAAACCTCAGTGGGATTACCAAATTTAAATATGAAAGAAAAAATGAAGTGAATTCCTTTACTGGAAAAAACAAGTCATCGCCTAAATAGCCAATTAGGCCCCGTTGCCCCAGTAGCCTTGCAGCAGTTCAGAAGAGACCCCTATGTGTCGCAGTTCTTTTGCTTTCGGGCTAGGTTCCAAACTTTGTTTGTTCATACTTTTCCCCGCCAATAACGTGAGGTCTTCCAAGAACTGCAAGGTCGCCCCTTATATGAAGAAAAGTCGCCCCGAGAAGAAGAGTCCCTCGCCTACCCCAGCTACCCTGGGCGAGCCAAAATTTCCTACATTTCCTTACCGAAACTTGGCGTTTAAATACACTAGAAACAAATAGTGGGCTAGAGCGCTTTTTCAATGGTAAGGTCACCTTTCTAGCTAAGCCGGGTCAACTCGGTCAAGGCAAGAGAATCAGACCATGCGGGAGTGCTGTTTTCAGCTCTAGGCTTGGGCAAAGGGGCCAACTATTTATCATATAAACACTTGCTTAAGTTGACTCGGGCCGGGAGGGTGACCCCGGGGAAATTTTTCTCTATGTGAACGGGGCGTCATTCGCATGTTTTCTTGATATAGGTTCAATAAACAGAACAATAACTCTGCCGTGCATCACACGTTTTTAGAAATTTATTCGCCGTCACAACGTTATACGGAGGACATAAGCACCCAAAGACAAATTTATTTTTCTCTATTTACACTTTGATGTTAGTGCTCCCTAAAAATTCAGTTCCACGGAAAAATCACTTAAATTTGACCAAGTTAGCCAATTAAGATAACCCCCACAAATTTTTAAAGTACGCCAAGTAGCTTTATAAATGACGTTTCGCTACTGTCGCCTCCCTAATGTCGGGCGTATTAAATCCCGAGCAACTGATCGACGTTCAGTCAGAGTCAATCTCTATATTTTAACGCCATACGTTAGTAATCATGTGTCACGTTAGGCTGTCTACTTTGGACTAGAAAAGGTACCAAGACGATCGAGGAACGGACCCCACGTGGTTTTACTTTCCGGTCCTCGCTTAAACACCCCGGCAGGCTAATACCGGTCACCTGGAGCGAGAGGCAACGGGAGAAGAGATAGCCTGGGAACGAGATTGATTAACAGTTTAATGTTCCGAGATAATAATAACCTGCGATCATGTTATCCCTTAAAAAGACGTAAAACGCCTGTTTAAAAAAAAAAAACCTTGAAACATGAAAAACTGTATAGTTTTACACTATTTCCTTGTTTTTGTTTTCGTCTTTTGTGGCTATAGTTTGTATTTTTGGATTCTGTTTCAGTTTTGCGGTTTAATTTTGTATTTTTTTGAGTGTGTTTCCTCTTGGGGATGCTTACTTCCGCTTTGGGATTTGTGTTTCTGTTTTCTGGTAGTGTTTTTCTGTTTTGGGTTTCCGTTTTGTCTTATGTGTTTCTGTTTTGTTTGTTTTTCTGGTTTGTCCTCTGCTATTTTTGTTATTGTTGATGTCTTGTGGTTTTTCTGTTTCTGTCGGCCACCCTATATATTTGAAAGTCCTCTGCATTTAAATCCAACCACTGGAGAACACTTCAAAACTCCGTTGAAAATTTCTTCTCAGAGATCAAATAGTCCAGGTAAGAAATAATCTCATTAACTTGGAATTTTTCTAATCAGATATTTCTGCAAGGTTTATTTTGATTTCCTGCTGTAGTTTTTTTCCCTCTCTTTTTTACTAAGAAATAATTAATAATAAGCTTAGACCGGTTTGCGACCGCGAAGCAAAGTATGTTTGTCCCATATTAAGCAAAACGTCCGACTAGAATATTATTTTAGCCGATTTTTGTTTCTCTCACTTCGTAGTGTTCCTTGTCTGCTTCTCTTTTCTTTAATGTTATTGTCGCCGGGTAGAGGACACATTCTTGAGGATTAGACCTAGCCCCATTTCCCTGGACTTAACCTGTCTACAGCCGCCCCATCCCCTCAGAAAAACCAATTTTTTTTTTTCTGACCGGAGGGTGCCTATAACACATGCTATTTGGGCTGAAACATTTTATGTAAACTAGATGGGGAGAGTACTGTTGTGGCTATTGTAGAATCATCAAAGAACGGCTGCACAGTGAGAAAGCCTTATAACCTTAGTATTTTCCTCTTGATGTTTAGATAAAAAGGTCTATACTTTCTACTCATGTAAGAATTTTATAGTTTCAAAAGTGGAGACCGAAGTTAATTGGACTTAACTTTGGGATTTTTGCGGTTTCTCTGTTTCATGCACGAGCATGAAACTAAACAATAAAGCCACAAACGATGGAAATATACCTTTGAGCTACATATTCTACTATAAAAACGTTAGGGATAGTGCTACCGTAAAGTTTCCATAGTAGCGACTCTCGCTACTTTCCGAATTAGCAGCCTTTGGGGCTCGTTACTTTCGGGGGCTCGTTATTTTCGGGGACCAAAAACCATGAAACAAAGTTGGCGCTAGCTCTTTCTCGATATGAAAAATAAACAACATAATATTAAAAACAACAACAACAATATTTTATTTGTGTTACATGATATGTGTAACAGAGATAGTACCTACGTGCTAAACACAGCAATACTCTGGTAAAAGACGAGAGCAATGATTATAGTTAGCAAATGAGAAGGAATTCATTTGTCCAGTTTCATGTTTTTCTCCGCCATATTTGTGGTCTCTGAATACTGAATAACCCATATTGTGTTGTCACTTGTCGGGACGAGTTGTACTAGCTTGCACGGCATGACAAGAGACCTCTCGTCGGCTGAAAGACACGGTTATCCGTTCCTTTGAGAAATTCGGTATTGCAGGGACAGTGAAATCAACATCGATGGTCTACCGGACTACCGAATGGGTAAATTAGCCGATGTAGAGGAAATCGAATTCTTCTCTGACTCAGGGGAGGAAAGCCAAACTCAGTGCTTTTAGTCCATGACAAACAAATGTATTTTATAGGTGCAATTTACAGAGGTTTCAGTTTTAACTTGGTCGAAGAAACGTTCCTTTTGTTGAGCTGAACTTTTAATCAGTTTAGTTTTTACATTGTGCAATCTGTGAACTGACGTCAACAACGAATGATAGTTGACATAGTTTCAGGCATGCCATGTTTCCCTTGTTACAAAGTGTTCCATTAATATTAGTATTATACATTAAAAATTTGACAATGGATTGCAATTGGAAAACAATAAAGGCATTCGGTATGTTTAGAACGTAATTCAATGTAATGGTTATAGCCTGCGAAAACATTTGTTTCTCCTCGCTCTTCGCCGCTGGGGACGTTTCGCGCGGTGGAACGTATAATGGTTAATGCTTTTTTGGGACTCGTTACTTTCGGGGGCTTGATATTTTCGGGATTTATTAGAAGTAAGAAACTATTGACGTTACTTTCGGCGGGTTGCTACTATGAGAACTTTACGGTAATAAGGAATGACTCTTGATTTGGCTCAAAATGTTCCCATCCTTACATTAAAGGTGAATTATTCAAAACTAAAAATCGACCTCAGAGAACCCCGGCCCCAAATGGCTGATGTATATCTCAGACCAAAACAGGGTCAATCGAGCTAAAACATTGGCATAATGTGGAAATCTCCATAGTAACTAATTGTACGCAATTTGACCAAAACCGACCGACACCTATTTCCAAGCCTACCACATTTTCTCAGGCAGAAGCTCTCAATTATATTTTCATTTCGTATCACAGGAGTTTCAAAAATGATTAGTTTTGTACTTGATGAAACCTTTCCTGTTTTTTGAATATTTAGGCAGGGTACAAAGGGATTTTTATTTTCAGCCAAATTTATAGAAAGACGTTTTAAGGGAATCTGCATGAAATATTGTGTTTTATAAAATCATTAAGATAGTACGCACGATCTGATTAGTTAAAAACCTATGGTTTATTGTGCCGGTAAACTCATAGAAAACTAAAACATGCTTTAAGGCTATTTTATAAAAGCAATAGAACACAGTTTCTCGCCAAGCAAGCTTTTGTCGTGTTCTCCCAACATCCCAAGTGGGTTATCACGCCGGTAAACCCATAGAAAGTGTGGTCTATTGCTTAAATATATACACCAATATTCAGAAATTGACAACAACAACAAAAAACTCCGGAGGTGCGTCAGATAGGGTAAATCCAGGGAGAAAGGAGTGGAAAGTTCTATCATGTCTTAACTGTCTAAAGGAGACAAAATTTTGTAAAAGACTTCAAATGTACTAATGACAATTATTTTGCTTTTTTTTGCACCTCCGGGCTCCTATAAAGAAACCTTACGCCCAAGAAACAGTTCCACTTCGAATACTAAAACTTCGAAATGGCAGAAGGAATACTACAAATTATAGCTGAACAAAAAAAGCGTCTTACAATAGCGGAAATCAATAAAAACACGGCAGAGAAAGCACGTGCCTACTACAATCTAGCCGAAGCTTATTACTTAGCCAGTGACTTTCATCAACAAATAGAGTACCTCAAGCAATACCTGAGCATTACTGAGGAAGTCGGTGATAGAGCAGGTGCAGGACGTGCCTATCAAGAGCTCGGCCATGCTTATGGATTCCTGGGTGACTACCAACGAGGAATAGAGTACCACAATCAAGACCTCAGGATTGCCAAGGAACTTGGTGACAGGGCACGTGAAGGGTGTGCCTATGGCAATCTCGGCGATACTTATCGCCACCTTGAAGAATTCCAACGAGCAATAGAGTACAACAATAAACACCTCAGCATTGCCAAGGAAGTTGGTGAAAGGGTATGTCAAGGCAAAGCCTATGCCAGTCTCGGGCTTGCTTATTACAGCCTTAATGAATTCCAAAGAACAATAGAGTACACCAATAAATGCCTCATCATTGCCAAGGAAGTTGGTGACAGGGCATTGGAAGGCAAAGCCTATGGCATTCTCGGCGCTTCTTATGTCAGCCTTAAAGAATTCCAAAGAGCAACAGAATACACCAATGAATGCCTCATCATTGCCAAGGAAGTTGGTGACAGGGCATTGGAAGGCAAAGCCTATGGCATTCTCGGCGATAGTTATCACAGCCTTAAAGAATTCCAGAAAGCAATAGGTTACACCAATAAATGCCTCATCATTGCCACGGAAGTTGGTGACAGGGCAGGGGAAGGCGAAGCCTATTTCGATCTCGGCGTTGTGTATATCAAACTTCATGAATTTCAAAGAGCAATAGAGTACGTCAATAAATGCCTCATCATTGCCACGGAAGTTAGAGACGGGAAAGGGCAAGGGAAATGCTATGACTTTCTCGGCAATATTTACAACCATCTCGGCGAAGACCAACGAGCAATAGAGTGCACCAATAAATCCCTCAAAATTGCCAAGGAAGATGGTAACAGGAAATTGGAAGGTAAAGCCTATTCCGGTCTCGGCTCTACTTATCAAAGGCTTGAGGAATTCCAAAGAGCAATGGAGTACCACAAGAAACACCTGAGCATTGCCGAGGAAGTCGGTGACAGAAAAGGAAAAGGAAGTGCCTATTTACACATCGGCGAAGTTCATGACTCCCTCGGCGACGTACCACGAGCAATGGAGTACTACAAGCAATCCCTGAGCAATGCCGAGGAAATCGGTGACATGGGTGGACAAGGAATGGCCTATTGCCACCTCGGAGGTTGTTATAAAAAACTCCACGACTTGAACGAAGCGATAGAGTGTTACAAGAAACACCTGAGCCTTGCCGAGGAAAGCGGTGAAAGGATCTTAGGAGCATGTGCACATAAAGATCTGGGTCACTCTTTTTTACAATCACATTCTTTGGATGAGGCTTTGAAACATTTTAGATGCAGTGTTAAAATCTTTGACACTATTAGAGCCAATTCTATCTCGGAAGATCAATTGAAAATAAGTTTCCGTACGCTTTATAGATGTGCCTATACTCATTTATGGCAGGTTTTAGTAATGCTTGAAAGGAATGATGAGGCTTTATACGCTGCTGAGAGGGGACGAGCACAAGCTTTGCTCGATGCCTTAAAAGTAACTTATGGCCTTACATCACTTTTCCCCAGCTCAATTGAATCTGAAGAAGAAGTCAGAAATATTTCAAGGAAGACAACTGTTTTAACAGTTTTTCTTGCCCTGCAAAAGAAAACAGTCAATTTGTGGGTGTTGGGAAAAGAAGACAACCCTATCTTTAGGCGATTGAAGTTACAAGGAATTGGAAAAGAGCACGAAGATTCCTTTTCTTTCCTTTTAGACTTTGTTTTGGGATGCATTGGGGCTGGCAGAGGTATCAGGTGCGAAAATCGGTCAATGGATAAGATCAGTGATGACCAAACTTCAACTACTCGAGACAATGATCAAACATCGGAGCCAATACAGGGGACCACCGACCTTTTACAGCCATTATATGATGTAGCTCTTGGTCCCATTGAAGACTTGCTTGATGGTGATGAACTAATAGTAGTTCCTGACGGCGCTTTGTCTAAATTTCCTTGGGCAGCCCTGAGTGAAACTTTAAGGATCCGGACTGTTCCCTCACTGACAAGTTTGAAAGTCATCACACATTCTGCAATTGAATACCACAGTAAAAGTGGAGCCATGCTAGTTGGAGATCCATGCTTGAAGAAAATTACAGATAGACGGGGGAGGTCCATTTATGATCCTCTGAAGTACGCAAGAATGGAAGTGGAGATGATTGGAAAAATTTTAAAGAGTCAACCCTTAACAGGTGAAGATGCAACCAAAGAAGCGGTACTTCAGGGAATCGGGTTAGTTGCTTTGGTACACATTGCAGCCCACGGAAGAAAGGAAACCGGAGAAATTGTTTTGGCTCCAGACCCCCGATGGGAATCCAAGCCTCTTAAGGAGGAGGATTGCATTATGAAAATGTCTGACATACAAGCTGTTAAGCTGAGAGCGAGGCTGGTTGTGCTTAGCTGTTGCCACAGTGGTCAAGGAGAGGTCTCGTCTGAGGGTGTGGTCGGTATGGCACGTGCTTTCTTGTTTGCTGGTGCTCGTTCCGTGCTGGCGACACTCTGGGCAATTGATGACGAAGCCACAATGATGTTTATGAAATCTTTCTACAAACAACTTGCAAGAGGAGAAAGTGCAAGTGTTGCTCTTCAGAGGGCCATGAAAT